TTGTACACAGTGACTGAAGAGTGCCATGCTCTAGCTAATCCACTGGACAATGAGGCACTATGCCAGGCACTGCGCGAGTGAAGAACAGGGTAAAAAAAGGAAGACAATGACCCTATTCTGGAAGGGCTTACAATCTGTGTCGACACTGGGGATGGTCTCCTTTAGCTAATGACATGGACTCAATCAAATATAGTCTCTGAACTTTCTGTAGTCATGATGCTACTTTTATTTAGTGTGATGTCCAGAAGGGGATTAAATGACTTTGTTATGTCAACTAGCAACGATCATCACTGCAGAGTAAGCAATGCAGAAGTTAACTGATAGCAATAATTCTACCTACATCAGACCAAAAATAAACCTATGCTCAACTCTACAAGGTGAATGAAGAGATGAGGTCCCTCATGACCAAAAAAAAAATGGTCAAGAAATCAAATGAGCAAAGAATTTTCAATAAATGATTCCCTATAAAAAGCAACAGAGTGTGGTAGTTAAGAGGATAAATCCTGGGTCCAAACTCGGGGTCTGAATGCCCACATCACCACGTACTAGCTATTACCCTTAGCGAGTCAGTGAACCTTCCTGCACCTCAGTTTACCCATCTATAGACTAGGGATGACAACAGTGCCTGTCTCCTAGAATCGTGCAGATTCCGTTGCTTTAGGTGGGAAGTTAATATAGAGCACCTTAAGTCATAGATATGACATTAAAAATACAGCAACAAAGAAAACCATAAACTGGATTTCATCCACATCTAAAACTGGTATGCTTCAAAGGACACCATAATGGAGAAAATAAAAACATAACACACAGAATGAAAGACAAATTCTGGTAATCATGTATCAGATAAAAGACCCTTAGAGAGAATAAATTAAAAAACTGTTACTGGCAGTGTGCAGTGGCTCATACCTGTAATCGCAGCATCTGGGGAGGCCAAGGCAGACAGATCACCTGAGGTCAGGAGTTCGAGACCAGCCTGGCCAACATGGTGAAACCCCATCTCTACTGAAAATACAAAAAAATTAGCCAGGCACGGTGGCAGGCACCTGCAATCCCATCTACTTGGGAGGTTGAGGCAGGAGAATCGCTTGAACCAAGGAGGCAGAGATTGCAGTGAGCCAAGACTGCACCATTGCACTCCAGCCTGGGCAACAAGAACAAAACTCCATCTCAAATAAATAAATAAATAAAACATATGTCTACACAAACGCTTATAACATCATTATTCATAATAGCCAAAAGGTACAAATGATACAAATGTCCATCAACTGACGGAATGGAGAAACAACATGTGGCCCATATATGCAATGGAATATTATTCTGCAAGAAGAAAAAGCAATGCAGACTGACACAATGCAGTACGGATGAACCTCGAAACATTACGATAAGTGAAAGAGGCCGGTCACAAAAGACAACAAACCATTGTATATATGATGCCATTTACATGAAATGTCCACAATAGGCAAATAATAGAGAAAGAAAGTAGCTTAACAGCTGCTTGGAGCTAAGGGGAAGATGTAGGCAATGGAGAGCTAGGGCTTCCTCTCGGGGTTATAAGAATGTCCAAAGACTGATTGTGGTGAGGGTTACCCTGTAAATACACTAAAAATTACTGCGTTTTACCATTTAAATAGGTAAATTGTATTAAAACTAGTTTGTTTGTTTAAAAAAAAGCACCTTAGAACAGTGTCTCTCACATAGCAAGTGCAAATTGTTCATTTTTATTACAAGAAAAAGAAACTCTCCTCAACATGAAAATGGAGAAAGCAACTACATGTCAACTAAAATTATCCAAAGGATCATTATATGTAAAGTAGTTGCTGAACTTATGAGAAATGTTTAGAAATAGGAGAAAAAAAAACAGAGAGAGAGAGAGACCAGAAATGGTGGCTGATGCTTGTAATCACTTTGGGAGGCAAAGGTGGGAGGAGTGCTTGAGGCCAAGGCCAGCCTGGTCAACACAGAGAGACCTCATCTTTATTTAAAAATTTAAAAATTCGGCCAGGTGTGGCGGCTCATGCCTGTAATCTTAGCACTTCAGGACGCTGAGGCGGGTGGATCACGAGGTCAAGAGATCAAGACCATCCTGGCCAACATGGTGAAACCCCCCTCTCTACTAAAAACACAAAAAATTAGCTGGGTATGGTGGTGTGCACCTGTAGTCCCAGCTACTTGGGAAGCTGAAGTAGGAGAATCGCTTGAACCAGGAGGTAGAGGTTTCAGTGAGCCAAGATCATGCCACTGCACTCCAGCCTGGTGACAGAGCAAGACTCTGTCTCAAAAAGATATTAATTTAAAAATTAGCTGGGCATGGTGGCACACACCTGTAGTCCCAGCTACTCCAGAGGCTGAGGTGTGAGGACTGCTTGAGTCCAAGAGTTGAAGGGTGCAGCAGGCTAGCATCACACCTGTGAATAGCCACTGCACTCTAGCCTCAGCAGCAAAGTAAGACCCTATCCAAAAAAAAAGAGAGAGAGAGGAAAGAAATAACAAGAAAAAAAGAGTTTTAAGAAGCATTCCATTTTATAACTGCAGATAAAGAACACAAATGCCAAACTGCTAAAAATGCGGGGAGGGGAAGCTTAGTTCTTAGGATGAGAGATGGAGGAGACCCGAAGACGGTGAAACTCCTTCTGATTTTGGAAACAGTGGTGGGGAAAGCAGGTAGGAAAATAATTCTCAAACAGCTTGCTTCAAACATAATGTCCATTTAAAACTCAAAAATAAAGTGAAAGTGATGCAATTCTGTGATAGCGTCATATGAATGGGTTTTCCAGGAGCTGAACAATTTTAGAACCCCTGAGAGAGTGTTAGCTATTCGGACAGAGAGGCTGTGGAGAATCAAATTGCACTGCTCCTAGGAGCTGGACAGATTCCCTACCAGCACAGTCACGGCTAACACATTTGCAAGGGTTTAGAAAGGACCAACGCTTGAAAGACAGATATGATTTCAGTAGGGGAGTCAGTCCTGTCACAAAAGTCCCTGCTAGCAGAGGCCAGAAGGCATTTGCAGGAACTGCGGTGGCCTGAAGGCAGGAAGCAGAATGTGGGGCCGGGACGCATCTCATTCTCTTCACTCCCTCTCCCACAGGTAAAGAAAAGTCAGGTCCACACGTCTCTCATTTGGAACCATTACAGAGGATGTGCTCACACACAAAACACTGGTTTCTGGGTCCTTCCTGGTGGTTTTCACCTCTATAGCAGGATCTGGATGCACCCTTGAATAACAGCCCCACAGAAGCTCCTCACTTCCTCCCAGCACTCTACACTCAGTTTCATCCCTACACAACCTTACCTTGTAAGCTTCAGAAATCTTTTTAAAATGCCTTATCTCAACAAATGACTGATTTTCCTTATAGCTCTAAGCTACTTCTACATAGTGTATACATCTAATTATCCTAAACAAATGTGATTGGCACACTGGAATTCAGTTTTTGTTTTGTTTTGAGACAAAGTCTTGCTCTTGTCCCCCAGGCTAGAATGCAATGGGGCAATCTCAGCTCACTGCAACCTCCGTCTCCCGGGTTCAAATGATTCTCCTGCTTCAGCCTCCCAGGTAGTTGGGATTACAGGCACCTGCCACCATGCCTGACTAATTTTCGTATTTTTTTAGTAGAGACGGGATTTCATCATGTTGGTCAGGCTGGTCTTGAACTCCTGATCTTGTGATCCGCCCGCCTCGGCCTCTCAAAGTGCCGCAATTACAGGTGTGAGCCACCGTGCCTGACTTGGAATTCGGTATTTTATAGCAGGCATCACCAGCCAGGCTGGGGCTCAGCAACTCGTATCAAACACCAGTACATTCAACAACTATTTAATTTGTCATCAGTGTTGGCTTCCAGCTCCTCAGTGGCATAAGGCATTGCCCCCAAATGTCTCCTCATCAGCAACTCGGGTCTCCTGAAAACAAACCAAGGATCTGTTGTCCTTTCTCTCTTTTTTTGTGTGTGTGTGTGGTTTTTTTTTTTGTTTGTTTTTTAAAGACGGGGTTTCACCATGTTGGTCAGGCTGGTCTTGAAATCCCAACCTCAGGTGATCTGCCCGCCTTGGCCTCCAAAGTGCCTGGATTACAGGCGTGAGCCACCATGCCCGGCATCTGTTGTCCTTTCTCTACACATTCAACAAATCCCATCAGGAAACTTAGCCACCGGCCTAAAGAAAGGAGCAGAGGCAAACGTTAAAATCAATGTTGTCTGGGCCTGGGCATGGTGGCTCACGCCTGTAATCCAAGCACTTTGGAGGTCAAGGTGGGCGGATCACCTGAGGTCGGGAGTTCAAGACCAGCCTGACCAACATGGTGAAACTCCATCTTTTAAAAAAAAAAAAAAAAAAAACCAACGTCTGCAAACCTGCTTCATTTCAGAGCCAAGAGGAGACAACAGCAAACGTGTTATCACAGAGCCTGTGTGAGCACAGCCGTCTGAGCTCCATTCTAGGCTGATTTCATTTTGTATTATTTACCCTGTCATTGTTTCTCACTGAGTCAGAAAATAAATAGAGCTCATCATGAAACAATTAAGCCCTGTAATAAAAGAGATTTTTACCGTGTTAATTACAGGAGATATTACGAGGGGAAAGAAAAACCTGCCTCTGTAGAAAATACAAGATTTCCTTCCCTGCTAAGAACACACAGTCAAAAAGCAGTAGAGAATTCAAACTCACATGGAAGGGAGGAGCACAAGCCACAAATCACAGCAAAGTCATGATTACAAATGAACTCAAAATTAGCAGGACAAACATGCTTGATGCATTCAGAGAATTAAAGGCACAATTCTCGAATCGTTCACTTAGCCATGCTAGAGGAAGAAGCCTCCTCTCCAACAGACAACATAAAGCAACGGGGTGCCCATCAAGCAAGGAGCAAACAATCGTAAGGCTGTTAACAGTTCTGATTTAAAGTGGCTTAAATCAGAATGTTCCAAAGATCATCAACATCCATTCACATCACCATGAAACAAGCCTTAAAAAATAACCAAAAGAAACTAAACACATAGATGATGTACCTGGATCAATGAGAACTTCCTGTGCCCCTGGAAGAAAGAACAGATGATGGTATTTTATTTGGAAACAAAACTGCTTTTAAAAATAACTACTAAAACACATTTCATAATTCAAATGGCCTTCACAACAATCTGAGAAACTCGTAACTGATCAGAAAAGCAATTCCAAAAAACAGTATGTTACAAGTTTAGTGCCTTTTTGCTTCAGACAGAAAAAGAGAAAAGAAAAGCTACTATTACTCATACCCTGAACAAATTAAGTGCCTCCTCACCTCTCTCCCTTCCCACTTTCTGTGTTCATGCTCCCACCTCTTCCTTTTTTTTTTTTTTTTTTGTTTGAGAGGAGTCTTGCTTGCTGCCCAGGCTGGAGTGCAGTGGCGCGATCGGCTGGATGCATCCTCTGCTTCCGGGTTGCAGCGATTCTCCTGCCTTAGCCTCCTGAGTAGCTGGGATTACAGGCATGTGCCACCATGCCCAGCTATTTTTTTTTTTTTTTTTTTTTTTTTAGTAGAGACGAGGTTTCACCATATTGGCCAGGCTGTTCTTAAACTACTGACCTCAGGCAATCCCACCTCAGCCTCCCCAAGTGCTGGGATTACAGGTGTGAGCCACTGCGCCCAGCCTCCCAGGTCTTCTTAAACAAGTATGAGAATTCCTTATTTCCACAAATAAGCTAAGTGACAAAGGATTATTATTTGTGCAAATGTATGTCAGCAACCTAGAATGGAGGAGAAAAGGTGCCAAAAGCTCTATGGAATTTTTCACAACCCCCCTAAAATATGAATACCTCTCTCTCTCTCTCTCTCTCACACACACACACACACACAATTACTGGACACTTCAAGTTAAAGATTTCCAACTTTTAAAAGGTAGCTTTGTAGTTAGTTTAAAATACAAAACCATTTTCATTATTACAAAGAAAATTTGAAAGCCTTGGTCGTCTGCTAAACTATACTAATATCTGTGTGATCCAATTAAACTTCACTATAGAATGAAATTTCCCATCATGGCAAAACACACCCCAAGAGGTACTGTTCCAAGAGTCACATTTATCGTTAGTTATTTTCATTTCTAAACATGTTAAGAAGATTCAAAAAGGTGTGTCTCAATAATATATTCTTATGGAAATAGCACATTTTTTCAATTGTCTACAGAGAGACGAGGCCCCATGATTACGGTGCTATTTAAGAGCAATTTTGTATATACCCATCTCTGTTTGTAAATGCAGACTAAAAATCACTGCAGTCTTGAAGCCACCATTAAAATAAAAAACAGGTGTTTTCCATTGAGTAACACCTTTATGCCAAGCGCGATGTGTGGCAAATATCATGTATGACCTCCAGAGCAACCCTACAAAATAAACATATTAACCCTCACTGTATATGGCAAGACTGAAACCCAGAGGAGACAAGGGAAGCTGCCGTCACACACACCGCAACACCAGGTCCCAGGTCTGCACTGAGCAGACACAAAGCTACATGGAACCCTGAGGAAGTCTGGATTTCCAAGTAATCCTCCGAAGAACCTGGTCAAATATATTATACTTCACCATGTCCTTTAAATAGGGGATGTGAATGAAACTTCTGATGCCTCAAGAGTCATTGTCACAATCATCAATCATTTGATTATTAGTATCATCAGCCTCTAGTGGACTGATGTCACATTAACCAAACTCATAAGAGACTGATGTAGGAAAACTGGAGGTTTAACTACTAATGTAATAGGAGACACAAAATTATCAATCACACCAAAATATCAGGCAGGATTCAACAATTAGCACATTTTTCTCTTCAAGGCCAAATCACAGGCAGGAGGTAAGCAGAAGGCAACTCCATACGTCTCATTCAGGACCCTTACAGAGAATGCCCTCACACACCAAATGCTGGTTTCCAGGCCCTTTCCTAGTGGTTCTCACCTCTACAACAGGATCCTAACACCTGAATAGGAAAGCCCCACACAATCGCCCCTGCCTGTAAAATGAAGAGAGGGGGCCAGTGCTTCAGTTTGTTCCTGTTCTAAGATTAGCTTCTGTGAGCCTCGGTCTTTTCTTTATACTCAGGGGCATTAAAGTGTTCAGATTGGGTACTGAACGCCACTCCCTTCCCTGAAGCAGAATTCAGTAGTTGTATTTTGTTGAAATACAAATTAAGTTCATCTAGAAAACCCCCCTTTCTCTGAGCAGGAGTTTTCTAGATGAATCTGATGGACTAAAATTCTGTTACAAGGAGAGACCCACTGCCTACACGAATGATTAATGCAAACCGCAGTGCACTCTGTGGCCCGTGGCCAGGACACAACTGCCACTGCTGCATCACACTCTCTGTCCCACCTTTTCCATGCTGGCCAAACCCTGACTGATGGATGGATGTGCACAGGGAACTATAGGTATGCTGACCCTTCTAAACACCTGCAGCCAATCTACCGGGCTCAGCCAGACTGCCAGGGTGTCTTGTTTTCTTCTGTTTTGTTTGAGAGATGGAGTTTTGCTTTGTCGCCCAGGCTGAAGTACAGTGGTGCCGTCTCAGCTCACTGCAACCTCCACCTCCTGGGTTCAAGCAGTTCTTCTGCCTCAGCCTCCCAAGTAGCTGGGACTACAAGTACCCACTACCATGCCCAGCTAATTTTTTGTGTGTGTGTATTTTTAGCAGAGATAGGGTTTCACCATATTAGCCGGGCTGGTCTCGAAGTCCTGACCTCATAATCTGCCCACCTTGGCCTTCCAAAGTGCTGGGATTACAGGCAACGAACCACCATAGCTGGCCTACTAGCTCCATAACCTTGGTTAAGCTCCTTAACTTCTCAGTGCCTCAGTTTCCACATCTGTAACCTACCTTATCTGGTTGTTGTGAAAATTAAAAGGTTAAACTGGTTTATGTAAAATGTGTGTAGAGGCAGAGGTAGGTGGATCACTTGAGATCAAGAGTTTGAGACCAGCCTGGCCAACACGGTGAAACTTCATCTCTACTAAAAATACAAAAATTAGCTGGGCATGGGGGTACACACCTGTAATCCCAGCTACTCAGGAGGCTGAGGCACGAGAATCACCTGAACCCAGGATGCAGAAGTTGCAGTGAGCCAAGATCTCACCATTGTACTCCAGCCTGGGTGACACAGCGACTCCATCTCCAAAGAATAAAAATAAGGGCCAATATTAAAAATAAGTGGCTCATGTCTGCAATCCCAGCACTTCGGGAGGCTGAGGCCGGTGGATCATGAGGTCAGGAGATTGAGACCATCCTGGCCAACATGGTGAAATCACATCTCTACTAAAAATACAGAAGAACAAAAAACTTAACCAGGCATGGTGACACGCACCTATAGTCCCAGCTACTCAGGAGGCTGAGGCAGGGGAATCACTTGAACCAGGAGGCAAAGGTTGCAGTGAGCAGAGATCACATCACTGCACTTCAGCCTGGCAACGGAGTGAGACTCTGTCTCAAAAATAAATGCATAAATAAATAATAAAAATAAAAACAAATAAAATATGTGTAGCACATTTTAAGTATTCAACAAATGTTATCAGCCTGGTATGGTGGGTCATGCCTGTAATTCCAGCTCTTTGGGAAGCCAACGTGGACAGATCATTTGAGGTCAGGATGATCTCAAACACCTAAGAACAGCCTGGGCAACATGGTGAAACCCCGTCTCTACTAAAAATACAAAAAATTAGCAGGGCATGGTGGCAGACTCCTGTAATCCAAGCTAGTTGGGAGGCTGAAGCAGGAGAATCACTTGAACCTGGGAGGCAGAGGTTGCAGTGAGCAGAGATCGTGCCACTACAACTCCAGCCTGGGTGACAGAGTGAGACTTTGTCCTCCCGTCCAAAAAAATGAAAATGTTATCTATGACAGTGATTTTACAAGTCTCCCTTCTAATCATCCTTTGTACTTCCTTGCTAGTCTAAATTGCAAAGCCTATCCTTATTTCTCTGTTAACAAGAGAGAAACTGTTACCCATGACCTGTTTAAACTGAGGGGAAAGAGAGCACTTGCTCCCCACTCCTCTGGTTTCCATAATAAAAGCTCTGTCCTAAGCAACCATACCTCTTGCCAACCCCATTCCTCCCCCACCCAAGTGAGGTGAGTTGTGAGATGAGTGAGTTTGGAACACAAGCTGAGCACATGAACTCCTCTTTCACTCTTGGGTGCTACCCTCAGGAAATGTACAGGACACTGTGCCCCGCCATGCCTATGTCAGGGAGGAGTCCCTCGTAGGAAGGCCCGCTGTGGCCTGCAGCCACCAGATCTTGGATACAGTAGTAGGATGCCCATTTTTATGCAACCTTCAAGTTCATGAAAAATCTGGGGTTGTTTTTTGTTTCTTTGAGACAAGGTCTTGCTCTGTTGCCCAGGCTGGAGTGCAGTGGCGAGATCTCAGCTCACTGCAACCTCTGCCTCCTGGGCTCAAGCGATCCTCCCACCTCAGCCCCTTGAGTAGCTGGGACTATAGGCATGCGCCACCATACCCGGCTAATTTTTTGTATTTTTTGTAGAGACAGGATTTCACCATGTTGCCCAGGCTGGTCTCAAACACCTGGACTCAAGCGATCCACCAGCTGCGGCCTCGCAAAGTGCTAGGATTACAGGTGTGACCCACCTCGCCAGGCAGAGAATGTGGTTTCATCACTAATAAGGATGACATTTTGATTCTCTACCTGCTTACTCTTGTCTCATCTCTTAATTGGTTGTTGAAGAAAACAGGAGTGTTGGGCCAGGCTCAGTGGCTCACACCTGTAATCCCAACACTTTGGGAGGCCGAGGCAGGTGGATCACAAGGTCAGGAGTTCGAGACCAGCCTGGCCAACATGGTGAAACCCCATCTCTACTAAAAATACAAAAATTTGCTGGGTGTGGTGGTAGGCATGTGTAATCCCAGCTACTTGAGAGGTTGAGGCAGGAGAATTGCTTGAACCAGGAGGTAGAGGTTGCAGTGAGCCGAGATCACACCACCGCACTTGCCTGGGTAATACAGCAAGACTCAGTCTCAAAAAAAAAGAAAACAGGAGAGTTATTATTGGGCTCCTTTAAGCC